TTTGTCCGTTTACTTCAATACATTTTTGTAGTCGAAGGATTGTTTCCCGTTGAACGTTTTCAATTAACTCTGCTGGAATAAGTCTTATTTCTTGACGTATTTTCTGTTTCAGGCCATCAAAATTATTTGGTCTATTCACATAAACTTTAGGTTTCAAATAACCCCATAAGAAGAAATCTATAGGGGTTAAATCCGGTGATCATGGTGGCCACTCAATATGACCTTTGTGTCCAGTCCACTTATTAGGGAAAGTTAAGTCAAGAAATTGTCGAACTGCAATTGTAATATGAGGAGGTGCCCCATCGTGTTGGAACCATATGTCATTATGAGGAATATCTGGATCGGGTGGATTAGGAAACACAACAGCTAAAGCGGGGATGAGTTCAAACTAAAGAAAATCTAAGTAGCGTTCTCCACTTAAATTTTCGTCAAAAAAATAAGGTCCGAGAGCTCGGTTTTCGACACCTGCCCAAACATTTATTTTTTGACGATGCTGTGTGTGACCTGGAGTTTTGTCTGTTTATGTGTCCGTTTAAAACAAAAGTAGCCTCATCAGAAAAAATAATCTTTCGAGTGAAATCTAAGTTTTGATTATTCATCTCAATTATCTGCTCATAAAACTGCGTAGGTACTTCGGTCAAAATCGCCTTCTAATAGTTCATGTATCAATTGAACCTTATAAGGATGATATTTATTTGTTCGGAGTATTTGTGACACAGATCCCGATGACAAATTACAATTCCTGGGGATTGTCCTAACGGCTACATGGGGATTACTGACAGTTTCCAGTAACACGTCTAGTTTAGAATCTTCTGATATTTCTGCTGGTCTTCCTTTAGGTAAATATCTAACGTCGCCATGCTCAGCAAATTTCAATTCAATTTTGCTGACAGTAGATCTAGTAATTGGAGGTCGATCAGGATGAATTACATAAATAAATTACACACTTCCTGTTGAGTACGCTCTCTGTCTCCAAAACCAATCATCATAAGTACCTACTTCAATACGTTCTTTCTCAGATAAATGCATTTTTAAAATGAAACGTAAAACTGGCAAAATGTCATTAACAAACTAAACGCCAGTGATAGTTTGGTTTTTATTGTCATAAAATACCACATCAAAATGGTCTAGGGGTCAAGGAATGAAAAACGATCAATACGAAGCAAATTGTTTTGTTTAAGATAAAATTTGGCATATCAGATTGTTTTTGTTGGCTTTAAAAAAAATTTTCAAGGTTGTTCAATTTAAACATTTTATTTAATTACATTAAAGAATTTAATGCAAAAATAATTTGTGCCATCTCTGGATTTTGCTAATCTATGAATTGTAGGCCTAATATTGTGTCGCTCTCTGCTCTTGTATGATGAAAATTAAAATTTTTTTGTCGAATAAATCTATTCTGAATATTTTTTACATAAATGGGACATTCAAATATGTAAACTGACGGCATTGTAAGAATATTTAGTAGTTTGAAGTGCTCCCGACAATCATCTCTGTATTTTATTTCAGCCATAATTCTAATACATTTACCTACGTTGTAAACCAAAAATTTTATCACTGTGAGACGAATGACCCCACTTTTAAATTGCATGTTATGGTGGCATGAAAAATACCATAATATGCAGATATGAGTACAGGCTTAGATACTACACGATCCAAATTACGCAGTAGGAAAATATTCTTAGATAAATGTGCGGATACATCATTGACATGTTTTTCCCAACTCAATTTAGTGTCAAGGTGAATTCCAAGAAATTTAATTCTATTTGAGTTATCACAAGTATTGATATGGCGAAGTGTAAAAAGCAAAGATTGAGTTTTGTCAACATTTAAGTTCAATCTATTAACAATAAACCAGTCCTTTATCAGCGGCAGCGTATCCACTGAATCTTCTGTGAGTTTAGTTAAGTTATTATTTGTCTTTAAAGCGGTAGTGTCATCGGCAAATAAAATAAAATCAGTAGTTATATCACAATTTGGAAAATCATTGATATAGATAAGANTATTTATTTGTTCGGAGTATTTGTGACACAGATCCCGATGACAAATTACAATTCCTGGAGATTGTCCTAACGGCTACATGGGGATTACTGACAGTTTCCAGTAACACGTCTAGTTTAGAATCTTCTGATATTTCTGCTGGTCTTCCTTTAGGTAAATCTCTAACTTGTCCGTGCTCGGCAAATTTCAATTCAATTTTGCTGACAGTAGATCAATACGAAGCAAATTGTTTTGTTTAAGATAAAATTTGGCATATCAGATTTTTTTTGTTGGCTTTTAAAAAAATGTTCAAGGCTGTTCAATATAAACATTTTATTTGATTACATTAAAGAATTTAATGCAAAAATAATTTGTGCCATCTCTGGATTTCGCTAATCTATGAAATGTAGGCCTAAAATTGTGTCGCTCTCTTGTATGATGAAAATGAAAATTTTCAAAGACATTCAAATATGTAAACTGACGGCATTGTAAGAATATTTAGCAGTTTGAAGTGCTCCCGACAATCATCTCTGTATTTTATTCCAGCCATAATTCTAATACATTTACGTTGTAAACCAAAAATTTTATATCACTGTGAGACGAATGACCCCAGTTCTAAATTGCATGTCATGGTGGCATGAAAAATGCCATAATATGCAGATATGAGTACAGGCTTAGATACTGCACGATCCAAATTACGCAGTAGGAAAATATTCTTAGATAATCGCGAGGATAAATCATTGACATATTTTTCCCAACTCAATTTAGTGTCAAGGTGAACTCCAAGAAATTTAATGCTATTTGAGTTATCACAAGTACCTATTGATATGGCGAAGTGTAAAAAGCAAAGATTGAGTTTTGTCAACATTTAAGTTCAATCTATTAGCATTAAACCAGTCCTTTATCAACGGCAGCGTATCCACTGAATCTTCTGTGAGTTTAGTTAAGTTATTATTTGTCTTTAAAGCGGTAGTGTCATCGGCAAATAAAATAAAATCAGTAGTTATATCACAATTTGGAAAATCATTGATATAGATAAGAAATAGAACATTAAGGCGATGTTTCGCATTGTATTAGCTATGTCTTGTCCAAATTTTGTTCGTGCAACTCTCTTGGTTTCGACAATGCAATACTGTTTCCAATCACGAAAATTGAATAATTTCAAACATTTCGAATTTTTACCACCAAGAACGGCGGTGACAGCATTTTTAACATTAAGGCGATGTTTCGCATTGTAACGAGCGTTCAAATAAAAACATGGTCGAAGTTGGCTCTGACACATTGGACGTAGGGAGTAGCTTATAGCGACCAACTTAATCTCATTTCTCAACGAGCTGTATAGCAGCTATCAGTTTCAATAACGTTAATGACTATATAACTTTATTTTAAAGGATAATCGTGATAACAATAACAAACAATTAAAGAAGCTGCGGAAAGTGTCCCCCTCCTTGTTATAACAATAAATTAAAGCGGCTGCTGAAAGTGTCCCCCTCCTTGTTCCAAGCACTTTTCACACCTGTTCCTCAAAGAATTAAAGACATTTTCTAAGATGCTCGGGGTATTGTTAATTTCATAAGTCGAGCCTTCAGATGGTTTAAATCAGGAATAGGCAGTTCAAAAATAGTGTTTTTAAGGTAAGGCCACAAAAAGAAATCACACGGCGTAATATCACATGACCTCGGTGGAAATTCATGTTCAGCATTGAGACTTATTAGTCGATTTTGGAAAACTTCCCTCAACATATTCATCGTCTCGCCTGCCGTATGTGCCCTTGCGCCATCTTGTTGAAAGTAAAAGTTTGTAATTTCGTTTTCTTCCAGCTGGTTAACAAAAGGAGCGATAATTTCTTCTCTATACCTTTGCGCAGTAAGAGTACCATTAAAAAAAATAGGTCCATAAATCCTCCTTCGATTGAGAGCACACCAAACTCCAATTTTTTGAGCATGTAGAGGGCCCTCGACAAAAAAGTTATCTGGTTTTTCAGAAGAACACATTCTCATATTCTGTGAGTTTACGTAACCATTTAAATGAAACCAGGCTTCATCAGAAAAAAAGGTGATATTATGAAGTTCATCGTAGTTGTTTAAAAACCATTCACAAAATACAGCCCGTCGCGGAAAATCAACTTCATGAAGTTCTTGCTGACAAGTTAAACGATAGGAGAACAAACGCAAATCTTTTTTTAACACTGTGTGGCAGGTACGACTGATACTCCCACAATTTGTGATAAAACACGTACAGAATAAGTTCTTGGCGTATTTTCCATTATTTGTTGGACATTTTCTTTTAATTCTTCAGTCCGCTTTTTAGGTCGGCCGCTTCCTTCTTTTCTTGTTACACTGCCCGTTTCACAAAAAACATTAACACAACGCTGAACTGCACTTTGAAAAATTTTGTACTGAACAACTCCGGGAAATTGATTTTGAAATTTTATGAAACATACCTCAATAGAATACTTCTATAGTCCATCAATCTTGCGTCCATTTCTAAAGTAGGACTCTATGATAAACACTTTTTGTTCTTCAGGAAAACACCATTTTAAACGCTTTTTAAAATGAAAATATTCAAATTGATAGCGGCGATATGGCGCTTTGACAGATGACGTTTAAGTTCATTTGCTATACGCTACGCCCTACGTCCAAATTTTCAGAACCAACTTGACCACGTTTTTATTTGAACGCTCGTTATTAGCTATGTCCTGTCCAAATTTTGTTCGTGCAACTCTCTTGATTTCGACAGTGCAATACTGTTTTCAATCACGAAAATTGAATCATTTCAAATATTTCGAATTTTCACAATCAAGAACGGCGGTGACAGCACCTGTCCTAAGTTAGTTAGTTTAGTCGCTAGAGGGCATTAAAGCTGACGAGTGATCTAAAAAAACTGATTAACCCAAAACTTCATTTTTGTAATTACATTTGTCAAATTATTAAAATTCAAAGTTTATCTACTGATCAAATTCGTTTACTGACAAGGAAAAATGATGTGCCAAGAACTAACCCGTGTTTCGTTTGTTCCAGAGAACCAGGTCCAACAATACGGCGAGGTCAACCAACTGGGCGGCGTCTTCGTCAACGGCCGACCTCTCCCGAACGCAGTACGCCTGCGCATCGTCGAACTGTCCCAAGTGGGCATCCGCCCCTGCGACATCTCCAGACAGCTGCGGGTATCCCACGGATGCGTTTCCAAGATCCTAGCCCGCTACCACGAGACGGGCTCCATCCTCCCCGGCGCCATAGGCGGTTCCAAGCCCCGCGTCACCACCCCCAAAGTCGTCGCCTACATCAAGGAGCTCAAACAGAAGGACCCCGGCATCTTCGCCTGGGAGATCCGCGACAGACTCCTGTCCGACGGTGTTTGTGACAAGTACAACGTGCCCTCGGTCAGTTCCATAAGCAGGATCCTCCGCAACAAGATCGGGACTCTAGTGCACTCCCAGCCCCACGCCCATTCCCTCTACAACGCCATCTACCCCACCTACCCCTATCCGCAGCAGAAGATGTCGCCGTCGTCGCCACCCCAACGGCACGGGCCGCACTGCTGGCCGAGCTCGCACTCGGTGACGGACATTCTGGCGGGGGTGCACGCCGCCGCTTTCAGGGGATCGCACCCCAGCCCGCCCACGAGCTTACCGGCGGGGCCGTCGCCGCCGGTGGTGGACCACTCGTCCCAGAACTATAATTACTACATGTACTTGCAGTCGGGGAACACGGCGGCCATGCACATGGTGAACGGCGGAATGAGTCCGCACCCCCTCGCGGGTGGACATATTTAGGGTAGGGTTAAGCGGGGAACCGTGGGAACAGCGCGTAGTTTTTATTTATTCGTACGACGAGCTCGGTTCGGCAACGATAAGTGAGGCCAAAGGGGAAATGAATATATTCGGACCCAATTTTTCTGAAGCCCAGTTTCGGATAGCTACAAATGCTTTTCTAATAACAATTTGAGATATTTACCTCCATAAAAGATTATAAGCCACGTGACTGTCGAACATAACCAACATTGCATGATTGGCACTGTCAACTAAAAATCCCTTAACCTCAATGTAGTGGTTCAAGGGGTTTGTGATGTCGGGGGGTGGTGGAATTGTTTTTCCACCGCGGCACTTAGGCCTTATCAGGCCCCTTGTACACCCTTCTTCATTACTCGAGTACTTTTCTTCAAACCATCCTATTTACTACACGGGTGGCTTGGTGGCAAAGTCTCGTACAGTTTATGTATGATAGCATGGTCTTGAGTTACAGAGATTTTCTTTGCTCTGTTCTCTGTTCTCATTATCATTTATCGGGGACCACACGCATGCGGCAAATGTTGGGCGACCCAGATCTCTGGTAGGCTGCCACAGCCACGTCCCCGAGCCTGCCTTAGGTCACCCATCCAAATTCCAGCCTGCGTCCGTGATGCTTGCCTCGGCAGATCGAAATCCGCCGGCCAAAACACCCGGCTAGGTGGTCCCAGCTGGCCAGGGGTGAAAGAAGATAAAATAAAAGGGGGTCAAGATAACTCAAAAGGGGTAAGTGCTAGAAAAAAATTCCTATAAAAGTCGTAGAGCATAAAATTCTACATAAAAATGGTCTAGTGACTTTTCTTTTTCAATTAAAATTAACAGAGTTAGGTTGGCTAGAAGTTATGGGATGATTTCAGGAATTTAAAAAAAATCATAAGCAGAAAAATGAACTAATGAAATCTACTCTAAAAAATGTAAACTTTCTTTTCGAAGAAATATATATATTTTCTAATTTTTAAATAAAAAGTTGTAACAATTTCAATTTTTTAATAGTTAATTTTTATGATTAAACATTAAAAAAATTATTTTCTATGCCATTCGATTGATTATTTAAAATAATGAAAAGTTCTATAGTGGTTTGGCCTTCAAGTGAGGAGACAAACTCTAAGTAGCATGGAAAACTTTATTCTACTAATTTCGTTGGTAACACGAGACACAACCGAGCAGGAACTAGGCTTCAAGAGTTCTCATTCGTGCCTCGAAATGTTTTCGGTTTTATCCTTGTCTCCAGGTACCTACTTTTATTATCCTCTCCTAATTAACATTTATCCGGGTCATTACCTACTCGGTTTGTGCTTATGTACCCTAATAAACAACAACTAATTTATGTTTACAGCCTACTTATTCTAATCTCATTTGCTAAATACATTTATTTGGGATAATCTCGGATAATTCAAAGTATAATTTATATGGCTCGTAAATTCCCAGAAAGCAAAATATATTTATTGGGGCAGGTACTAAATGTAATTGTAGCGTACCGCCACAGTTCGAAATTTTGTTTTACGTCAAAAATAAAAAATCTCGTTCGCTTTGTGAAATTGTCGTTTTTTATTAAAAATTAAAAAATATATCTATTTCTTTGAAAAAACAGTTTACAATTTTTAGAGTACATCAAAAAAAATTATAAAATTAATTAATTTTTCTGTTTCCTATCAACTGCAGTTGTTAATAAACAAATTGAAATGTGAGCCTATTATAGCAGTAAAACAAAAAAGGACAGTTCGAAAATGATTTAAAAATACACTTGTGCACCGCACTGGTCCATTGTAAAATCACAATGCACACATGTCTATTCTCATTTGTTTTTGGATAAATTGTGAATCACCCTGTATAATCTGATACGTAAAATCATGCTTTGTCAATGAAAAACGAGTAATCTAGCACAGCAGTTACATTGTAGATTCCAGTCCTAAAAAGGGCTAAAAAGGAAAATTTTGGGATATGAGATATGAAACTCGATTTCAAATGAAAATGTCTGTAAAAAGTCACTGGCCGCCACTGGTCTAGGCGCAAATAAATATAAGAGGAATTACTTAAATAGTAATGATGTTCCTTGAAACTGGGGTACTACATTTTTATTAAAATTACACCTACTTATCGTTGCTAGTTAAAAAAAATAGCAAATACGAACCTGTGTGGTCGTAACGATTTGTAAATTTTTATGTACGTGGCTTCGGTAGCTTTAAATTATTTAGTGTTTTAAATTTTTATGTATACAGGGTGTCCTTATTCCAGTGAATGCACCGTAGTGGAAAGATTTCTTAAGATTCAGTTTTAAATCATCAACTTTTACTCAAAATTAACCCGCGAATAATTTTTCTAACAAAAATTTGTACACTTAAATGAGGACAGTCTGTATAACTTGACGAAACGTGGTGCTTTTTAATGTAGATTTTATTTATTTGCAAATATTTGTTACTGAGATAAGAAAATATAATTACTTATATCAAAGTACTTAAACTATTTAATTGCATTGTAAAAATATTGTAGGTAATGCGTTCTCTCGATTCGTTTTTAAAACTTTGTATATCGTAGAAGTCGTAGGTGTTAGCTGATATGTACATTTCACAACTCTGTGTAGGTATGTATAAATGAATTGCCAATAGATTTTGTATTTCAGGAGGAATAAAAATATTTTCATTATTACCACCTGGTTTTTTATTTTATCTTTCACCAACCGCCCACTCTTAATATCCTTTGCACAATATGCCAAACATATTTCTAAAAGAGGATTACACTGAGAGAAAAATTTAATTGTGGTAATTAACAGTAGCAATTTGGGAAAATACATGACGATAAAGTAAACGAACAGAATAGAGTATAACAAAATATAACAAGGTACCTAAAACTGATAAAACAATTTTTTTGTAATACCTCAGCACAGAAAAATATGTAAACCAGCAAATACAATTTTTTTCCGTATTCTGAATAGCTAACTTACATCCTGGACGAAACTTGTATAACTGGTACAGTGAAGACATGTTTCTAACTTGCTTAGATTTTCTAAAACCGTCTTCAAAAGACTGCTATAAATTAACTGAAAATTGTGCATATAAACATAAACATAAACAGTACATTGTAAAAAAAATTTCACTCAAATTTCACTCAATTTCACTCAGTAATATATCAATTTCTGTCCACACCCGATGAGTACAACTGAGTGAAACTATTGCATCAGAAATGAGTGAGTGTTACTTAGGTCCGAGTTACTGCTAACTATCAATTCAGTGACTTGACTCTATTCTGAGTATATAAAATCAATTTAGAGTTGACTTTTTCTCTAATATGATTTCAAAATAACTATTATTGCATAAATTTTACTCAGACTTCGTTTTTAATTAACTAAATATTGAGTGCAAAAATAAATCACTCGTAAATGATTAATAATTACAGTGTTGAAATTAATTCACTTCGCGGGGCCTCCTCTTGTCCTGGCTGAGTCCCACCAGCTGAGACCGGCTGCCGCCGGCTAAGGCCTGACGACCATGCTTTTCTGGAGCATTTAACGGGCCCCTATCAACTGTGGTCGAGATTACAGAAGCAATATGTAAGTGGTGCCATCTTCCCGGCGCCATTCAAATTACTCGAAATTAATATACACTTAAACTCACTCAGTAATTAGGACATTTACTCTGATTTATGTACAAGTGCACCAAATACGAGTTTACAGTACCTATATTTGACTGAAAGTACTCAGTTTTAGTTCAAATATCACAAATGAGTGAAATTATCAAAATCCTCAAAATTGAGTGAAATTGTAATCAATAATTTTACTCCGTATCTTTATTGATTTCACTCACGCCGATTTTTTTACGGTGTATCAAAAAAAAAGAATTGAAAACAAAAATAAAAAGTTGTTACAATTTTTGACAATGTCAGCATCCGATTGGTAGAGTTTTAACCAAATACAAAGTTTCAGGAAACAAAAATCAAGAAAACTCAAAGAAAATTTGTAACTTTTTATTTTAGCATAGCATAAACTAGCTGCAAGATATATCTCTACACTCAAAAAAAAAATATTTCTTAAATCATGATATATTCGCTTTTCACTACAGGTATCTCGGAAACGGTAAGAGCTACGAAGTAGCTTAAATGGGGGCAAAGTTGCGTAATCAGGGGACCAACTAATATGCCTCTAAAAAATCAAGGCAAGATCCCTGTAGCGAGAAGCGAATTTGTAACAGCCTGTATACAAGGTGTCTTTGGTTTTCATCGGAAAAATTTAAGAAGCAATAGAACTCGAAAAAATAAAAGGAAATATTCATATAAACTTGTATGTTTTAAAGCTTCGTTTTCGAGATAAAAGGTGCTAAACAAGAAAAAAAATCAATATCTCAAAAGCTATTTTTTCGATTTTGATAAAACTTGGCACGATTTTAGCAATAACTAAGGGTTTTGATTTGATGTAATTAGATGTAATTTAATAATGCCAGGAGCGACAATATTGCAGTCTAACTAGATATTTTGAAGAAAAACTTTACTACTTTTTTTATTAGTTCGATATCATTGTTTAGATTGAGTATCACATCAAGAGAAAATTTATAAAAGTGGAGAAATTTTATTAAATTCAAGATTAATATAATAATCATTAATATATTCTTGATATAAGAGATCTTTTTTGCGTGTATTTCTGTAACAACAGAGGTACACAATTTTTCTCACAGATAACTTGTGTGTTTGTGACTTGAAATAAATTACGGTTTAATTTGATACTCGCAGAAGAGTTGGGGACGCAAAGTCATTAGTCTTAGATTTGTCGCGCAGTTTCCTGTCTATGCACTCCATTTCAGCGAAACGCATTTGTTGGCGTTTCGTGTTAATGTTTTTTACACCGCGGTTTCTGACGGAACATGTGTAGTGTACGCTTTAACGTTTTACATTAATTATACCGCCTCTTAAGCAGGTATTTACTGCTAAAGTAAGCTACTGTAACATTAGAACCAATACATAACCATCAAGCAGTATACGAAAGGAAATATTTTAAAAACACAATATTTAATTGCAAAATATATTTCTATTAGTGAATAGGTAGAAGAAAGTTGCGTGTATCTAGATAGTTGCTTATGTAATTTTAGATATCTTTATATTTCTAGAACCCACGCGAAAAAGATTATTCTACTTTTAAAATTTTAATTCTTTGCAAACACAAAAAAATTGAGTGAAATTTTACTCAAATTGTACTCAGTAATGTATCAATTTCTATCTATGCCCGGTCTATTGGCAAGAGTAGGTACTACTAAAATATTATGAGTTAAACTTTTGCGGCAGAAGAGAGTAATTTTACTCAAATCTGAGTTTCTGCTAATTGTCCAATGAGTAACATTTTACTTTATTCTGACCT